GACGAATCAAGCTGCAGCAATACAGGTCAGCAAACCTGTAGTGAAATACTCGATCCTCTCTCCGCGGGAATGCGATTTTGMGGCTTACCTGGGATGCTCCCTCTGCTCTGTTTCTGGTGCCTAGCAGGCGTGGCTGAAGGGGGAGAAGCTGGGGCCCTTTCAGGAGGCTCGTGGCTCTGCTCAGCTCCTTGTTAGCATAGTGACAAGGGGGCTGAAGGGAGATTTTTTTCTCTGTCACCGATGGGTTAGTGCTCAGCAGCCAGGCTGGGAACTCAGCTGTCGTGCAGCAGCTGCGTGTGGAGCAGCGGCTGCAGCCTCTCTCARTCGGGGGCTTGGCGTGCAGCAGGCTTTGCCCTGGTTATTGCTMGCCCTTGCTGCTGTCACTGTTGTTATCATCATTCATAAACCATTTGCAGGCACCTGCCTTGCTGGGTGTTTGGCAGAGACACCGACAGTCCATCCCTGCCCTGTCAAGAGCACAACTGCAGCAGGCAGGCAGATGACGTGAGCCACCCTTGCCCCCCTTTTCCTGCACACCRATAATTATCCTTGTTCCCTGACTAGCCAAAAGCCATCAAGACATCCCACATTGCCAGGCAGGCACTTTGTGCTGAGGAGATGCTGAAGCACATGGATGCTGCTGGAAATGGCTTTACATCAAGGCTCCTGCAGGACAGGATGCCCAGTGAAAGGAATTCCGGGGATGTGGGGATTAGGGAAGATGCCCTTTGCACTGAGTAGTTGAGCTGGGAACCTGGAGGAGGTGACCTGAGTGCACTGCAACTGCCTGGGATGTGAGGACCTCAGGGAAGCCCCAGAGCCTTCAGTTTTTCAGCTCTTGCAGTTTTCGCATCAACTCTTCGGTCCGTGGTTTGGCAGGCAGGGTGCTGGGCGTATGTCAGCCCCTGTTTTTCCTCAGGAGCAGSTGGGACGTGGTCTGCATCCTGGCTGCTACAAAAACTTGGTTCCTTTTTGGCCAAGAACACCAACTGGGGAAGACCAGGGGCCTTCTGCGCATTTAATTTTTTGCTATGATGCCAGCTACAAAGAATAACACCCACCTACCCCATTCAACAAGGAAAAGCAGGGACTTCTCCCCAGCTGCCACTCCAGCAGCATCCTCTCCTTACAATCCTGCTCAGTCAACCCCCAGCCCCCGAGTCTTGTACCCCCAGCCCCATTTTGGCCAGAGAAGAGTGGGTGAAGGCCAGTCCGACCAGCCCCACCATGGGGTGTCCCTCATCTAGTCCGAGATCCCGAGGATCAGGCAGCTGYTCTTGCAGCGCCATTGTCTGGACGGTGCAGCCGCAGCAGGGATCGCTGGGGCGGTGTGGGAGCAGGAAGGAGGTGATGCTGTCACCTTTTCTGTGCCTCTTCCCGACTTTGTCATCCTGGGGACCTTTGTGTGGTTCCCATTTTTATCTGTTTTTTTCTCCCTCTCACTCTTTCTCTCCTTCTCTCTTCGCTTTCTTCTCTCCCCCTCCCATCAGCATGTGGGCTGATCACTGCTCAAACTTTTAATTCAGATGGTAATTGGAATAATAATACGGGCAGAATCCTTCTGGCTCCGTTGCTGCAGCTGGCTTCAGGGAGCTATGAATAGCTCTGAGTCACACACTGAGATGGTTTAACTTCAAATCATTTTGTTTTGTTTTCATATTACCCATCCTCAGGCTCCAGAGCTTCACAGGGGGAAAAAATATCCCCCTTTCTCACTCCACCCCAAAATATAAACCGGGCAGAAGCACATGAATAAAATCCTCTTTTGGAAGGGAAACTGGTCAGCGGATCATGCCTTGAGGGGCAGATGGGGACTGTTGGCACTTCATCTATTTATAATTATTGAACGAAAAGGCAGAAGTGTGTATATAAAAATGGTATAGAGTTGATTACAGCTTCCTCCCCTCACCTTCCATATGTCACTTGCCTTTTTAATACGGTAAAACTCTCCTGCACTGTGACTGTGCCTTTGCGAGTGCCCGTACAGTGCCTGGCACCCTGCCCTGCCGGCACGGAGGAGCGAGAGCTCGGCCACTGACTCTTGTGGCAGGACAGCCCCCACGGCACCGAGCTGCCCTTTGAGCCCCGGCATGAAGCCTGGGAATGATCATGTGGAATAGGCGAAGAGACAGAGTTACAGAGAGGACAGAGAGGACACTGAAAGCTGTGGGTGCACAAGGCTCTGCAAAAAGGCAAAGAGGTCCCTTCTCAGCTGCGGGTGTTTCCGCCCTGGCTCCCCGAGAGGCGAGGAGTTCATCTGCCGTGCTGTCACGGTGCCCGAGCTGGCAGGATGGGTCTGTGGAAGCTGATCCCAAGCCAGCAGCCGGTAACAGGGATAAAGGCACAAAGCGGAGCGCAACCAGCGGCTGAGGTATTGACCACAGACAGCAGGGAAGCATTTGCCAGACAACTCCAGATAAAGCTAAGACTAAGAGTGTAAAAATACCCTGGGATTTTTCCATCGCCGTCGTTCACAGTGTATGTCCCAGAGCACCAGATACGGTTGTTATAAAAAGAGAAGTGGGGGAGTGCTTTAGCGTGGACTTTTCTGTTCTGTTTCATGAGACTCTTCCATTGCAAATTTAAAGAAGGATTGACAATATATGGTCTACTCTGGCAGGGGCTGGAGAAAGCTGGGGATGTGAGAGGTGCTGGACCCCATGCTGGAGATGGATCAATGCAGACATTGCACCAGCACCAAGCACCTTGACCTTATTAGCCTGCAGATCCCTTGGAAAGGGACAGCAGCAGTGCAGCCCCACGTGTCAGCTCAGGGCCAGARCAGAACCGGGGTGGCAGCGTGGGCTGGTGCAAGGACTTGTGCTGCTGGAGCACGGTGTCACACGGGAAGGAGGAGATGACTGCAGCACCGTGGTGATGTCCCCAGCATTGCTCAATCTAAGACACAGGCAGGGGAAAGTGGTTGGGAAAGAAGGAAGTGTAGTGGATGCTTTGGGGCTGGAGGCAGCTGCTGGCACCTGGAGACCCTTCTGGGTGGCAGTTTCAGTGCTGCAAGGCAGTGGCTGTGATGTCCATGTTGCAACAACTTCCCAGAGAACTGGGGAGTTTCCAAAAGGCATGAAATGAGTGTTCATGTACACCCAGGACAGGCAACAGAGGGATGGAGAGGCATCTGTCCAGACTGCAGGCTCCTGCCTAGCATCTCTCCTTTCTGCACCCACCATCTTGCTTTCATCCCACTCCATRGCACTCCATTGCCACTGACCCTGCAGCTTTCTCCTCCACATGTGGGTCCCAGGAGGCAGAGCAAGCTCCAAAGAATGTCCTTAGGCATGCTCCAGATTTGTGTCTATGTCCTCACCCAGGCTTTCCTCCCCCTTGTCCATGTGACAGGCAGCTGCCCATTCGGGATATGAATGTAATCCAGTTCTGCTGGAGACATCTCTGAGCCTTCCCCTTTCATTTCGTTTGTGTTTCAGGTTTCCAAGCTGCAATGGGACCTTTTCACAACCATTTGAACTATGTTTGCATAGGCCCCTGGTCTTGCCAAGCTGGCATCATCGATTTTGCAGGAAGCGATGACAGCAGTGGCCCTGGGCCACCAGTTGATGAGGAGGGACAGTGACCCAGTGTGGTAGCAGTCCCCAGCCCAAAGCTTCTTGCCTGCCTGTCTGTCCTTCCCATGGTGCCACCATGCACTGTGGGGGTGTGTTGGGGTGGAAGTGGGAAATGTGTTTATTTTTGTTCGTCTCCTGGCTCGTGCCGCTCTGAATTTGTGGCACTTGCTATTACTAACACTTCCCTGTGCCAGCTGGCAGCAGGGGATGAATCAGATTGGCAGCACCACAACGTAGACCCTTCACTGGCCATCCAGCTTGGAGTGATGCCTCTGGCCAAAGTGCCGGTGACATCCCCTGTGTGTGCCCAGGGTGAGCCCAAAATGACTTCGCTGCTGGAGATGTCTCAGTATCCTGTGGGGCAGGGGTGTCCCCTCTGACCCATGCTGCCAGGACTGTCCCTTCTTAACACTGGAGATCTCAGGTGGCTTCATGAGCTGCTCTCTGCTCACTGGCAGCATCCCCATCTGGGGTCAGCTCTTCAGCCAGGAGAACTGTCTATCCTTCTGCTTACAAAAAGTTTGGTTACAGTTGTTGTGGTTTAACCACAGCAAGCAACTAAGTACCACTCAGCCCCTCTCTCTCTTTTGCCGCCCGCAGCCTCACTGGGGAGGAGAATTGAAAAGAAAAGGTAAACTTTGTGGGTTGAGATAAGAACAATTCAATAATTGAAAAATAAGCTAATAATATTAATATTGTTATTATTAATAATAATAATAATAATAATAATAATAATAATGGTAATAATAAGTCAAGAGAGAGAATAACAAGACCCAAGAGAAACAAGTGAGGTACAACTCAATTACTCATCACCCACTGACTGATGCCCAGCCTGTCCCCTGGCCCCTTCCAGGTAACTCCCACAGTTTATATACCGGGCATGATGCTCCATGGCATGGAATATCCCTTTGGCTACTTTGGACTAGCTGTCCTGGCCATGCTCCCTTCTGGATTCCTGTGCAGCTCCTCACTGGCAGAACATGGGAAACAGAAAAGTTCTTGGCTTAGAGTGAGGCACTACTTAACACCACCATGTCTGTGTTCTTAGCGTTATTCTCATCCTAAATTCAGCACACAGCACTGTGCTGGCTACTATGAGGAAAAATAATGGAGTCCTAGACAGAATCAGGACAGCAGCTGATTTCTTCCTCCCCCTCCCCTGCTTCTGACAACTCAGCACACATGGAACTCAATGACATCACAGACCTTGGAATGCTGGTGGTTCCAGTTGTCCTCAGAGCCAAGATTCAGAGGTATCTGGTTCTCCTCTCTCCCCTGAACATCTTGGTGTTCTAAACAGAGGGATTTTGGTGGCCACAAGCATTGCTGAGGCTGCAGAAGGTGTCACACTGCTTGTCAGTGTCAACAGCCTGCACCACCTGCGCTCCAGGAGGACAATTTGGATTCTCCTGCTTGCTGCAGCCCAGAGCATCCTGAAAAATGTCACAGCCATTTGGAATCTTTGGGGTAATGATGATGATCTACCCAGAATCTGAAGGCTTGAAAGATGATGATGATGATGGTGAAGATGATGACAGTGAAGAATTAGGGAACTCCAGTCACTCTGAGTGTCCTTCACCCTCGTCCAAGAGCAAGGACACCCCAGATGACAATCAGACTGAGGATCTGGGAAAACGCATCCCGTTTCCCCTAACTCCCAAGCACCCTTACATGGTGAAAGATAAACGAGTGGGGCTGGCCAAACATGCACCGGAGCTTGAGGAGGAAGGTCAGGAGTTTCAGGAACCATTTTACAAAGTCATGGAAATGTCTGAAAGCTTGACTGGAGATGAGGAGCCCAGCCCGACCTATCACCTTCCTGGGCATCAGAGGTTACCTGCTGTCCAAATGGCCACTGCAGCAGCAAATGGCTCCCCAAACTCTTTCCAGCACAGATCAGGCCAGGATTTGGGCACACAGGCCCCTGCCACACAGGCCCATGCCAATGACCACTATGTGGGACGCTCAGAAAGCACCATGGGAGCAGAGCCCCACATGCTGCACGAGGAGGCTGGTGAGGACAGGGAGTCCCCATCCCTGCACCTGACCTATGACATGCTCAAGAAGGAGAACAACATGCTCAGGTCAGAGAAYAAAACACTCAGGAACGGGGACCTCATGCTCATGTCAGAGAACTTTTCTCTCAGGCAGGTGATAAAAAGGCTCAAAAAGGACAGTGCTGCGCTCATGGAGCAGGATGTTGTGCTCAGGGACGAATACAATGAGCTCAGGAGGCAGTACGACAGGCTCAGGGGTGAGAATGCTGCACTCAGGAATGACAATGCCATGGTCAGGAGTATGTTTAATACCTTCCAGAATGACTTGAAGAGACAGGCGTGCACAGTGTCGAGCCTGCAGGATCAGCTGAAGAGCACCCACGCYGAACACGAGAGGGAAGCCCGAGAGCTCCAGTCCTTGGTCCAGCAGACTGAGCATCATCTCCAGCTAATGACCCAGAGGGCTCTGGATGCAGAAATGAAAGTGGAGAGGCTGAAGCAGAAGATCTTTGTTCTGCAAGGACAGCTGGAGAGATTCAAGCTGGGCAATGAAAACCTGAGAGCAGAGTGGCCTGGAAGCAGCGAAGCACGACATAGATTTCATCAGTCAAAACCCCCACGAGTTCATAATGGGCACAAATGGCTCCCTCAGGCAGCTCCTGCCTCAGGAATGCTGCCTGTTGTTGCTGAGGTCCTTGCATCTACCAGAAAAATGCTCAAATTTTAAGCAGAAAAAGATCTATGGGTGCAATTCTGTGTGAGTTCTATGGATCAGTGTACGGTCCGAGGCCATGGGTCTCCCACTTGCAGCCATTTGCTGCAAATAAAAGCATTTCCTTTCCCATTCTCAAATGTGCATGCCCAGACTGGTGGCCTTTATCCTTTGTGGAAATACTTTCCTTGTGATTAAGGACCGGTTGTAGGTAGTGATGTGGCTTTAGCTGCTGACACTGTGTTTGGGCACTGCAGAGCTGGCAGCAAAGCCTGCATGGTCCAGCTGTGGTGGCCTCTGTGCAAGAGGCTGGGCCACAGTTCCGGCTGACATGAGGTCCATGTGGGAGCCAGGAGGACACACAGCACCACAGGATAGCAACACTCTAAACAGCATGGTCATCCCACCCATGGCTCTACCAGCCTGAACTGGAAGTGAACAAAGCCCTTCTTAGAGAAGAGGCAAAGGGGAGGAGCAAAGATCCAGGTGTTACTGCACATGATTTCACAGAGCTTCTTAGGTCCTCCTGTCTCCCTTCTGAAACTGGCTGCCTAGGCCAGAATTCCAGCATCCCTGGAAATGGTGCACTTGTTTCTACAGCTAGGGAAAAAGGGCTGTTGTTGGTGGAAATCAATAGAAATTTGTGCATGTGTGAACTGTGGCAATGCCTTCCCTTTGGTGTTGGCATATCCAGGTTGGCTGAGGACGATGCCAATTGAAGAGGATGCCTTTCCTCTCCTGGCTGGGCCTGGCATAGAGGGGTGTACCTACACTTCCTGCCTTTGTCACATCCCAAAGTCATGTGGGACCTTTCAGTCCAAACTCGCCACGTAATCACTGCAGTTAGCTTTATCTAGCAGGACCTTCAGTGGATATGAAGTGAACTCTGTCCATCACTTCAACATTTCTAATTAATTTAGGTTACCAGCCTCATGGTCTGCTCTTGGTTTACCCAGCTGCACAACAAAAATTCCTGTATCTAGCCAAACCAACTCCATGAAGACTTGGATGTTGTAAGGCAGTGAGGGGGTGGGAGCTGGAAGAGTTCAGTGTCAAAGTGCTTTTGGGGATTTTTGGGCAGTTGGTCACTTTAATCTCTATATGGTGAATCGTTGTCTTCTCTTGGTCTCATAATACCCTTGCTCTGAGGAGCCATGTTTATGTTAACACAGAGCTTTAAATGCCTCAGGAACTGAGAGCAAGATTGCTGGTTAACCACCATCCCATCAGAAGTGATGTCTGGAGCTCCATTCTTGCTGCTTTCCAGTTTGTGGTCCTTACTGGAAAGAACTGGTGGGCACCCCTGGCCAGATGCAGCCCCATTCTGCAGCACTGATGATGAGACAAGGATGGTTCCCACCAGCTTTTCCAGCCCAGACAACATCATTTGCTGTTCCTCTCTCCTGTCTGTGCGACTATTTGTAAGCAGCCCTAAACCTTAGATCTGATCCCCAAATCCTTGGATTTTTTCCATATCTGGCAGCCACTGTTATCAGTGAGACAGGAGGAAGTGAAAAAGCTGGCCCTCTCTGCATCCACACTTTACCCTGGCTGCTGTAATCCAAAGGCTACAGTGCAGGATTAGGATGGGTGTACAAACGCCTTCCTAATCTGTGAGTCATTACCCCCTCAGTGCACTTCTCAGCAGCTCTGGGCAGGTGAAATAGGTCGGCTCYTGAGTCTTTGCTTTCCTTATTCTTCTTTTCTGGGACGACTGGGTCAGGACATTTGTTGGACATCCTCCCAGGACTCTGCTGCTRAGCTGCTCATTGGATGCTGCACAMAGGGCATGTCACAAGGTTTGCTTGCTCTAGCTGGCTTCTCCTTGGCTACCCCTAAGCTCTTCCTTTCTATCCGTTTTTTTGGGCTCTACYTATTGCTTTCCTTCTTTCATTTGAAACAAGGGGGTATATTCTGCACATCCTGGARAAAGTCCCCTCTGGGTTAGGCTTAAGCTACATTCCTGCGCTTCGTTAGCTCATGTGTGTGAGGTATTTATCTGGCTGAGCTCTGGCCTTGGTGTAAGCTCTGATATTAATATAATGGCTCAGAATGAGGGCCCTGAGAGCTGCTCAGCTGCTGTGTCCTTGATCTGGAGAGTGCTGGGCGGCTGGCCCTGCTCCTCTGCTGGCAGGAGATGCTGGGGAGTGCAAGATCTGTGGGCCATATACCCAGTTTGTATCCCTCAGCTGCTCACCTACCTGAGCCAGTCTGTGGCACCGTGCTCCAKGGAAACCTCCCAAAACACCCTGAGCAAAAGGCTGGGAGCCCTGTGCCTGCTGCTCTGGGCTGGGATGGGTGCTGTCAGGGGAGGCTCTGACTGGGTTTTGCTCTGTCCTTTCCATCCAGGTGCGTGCCCAGGAGCAATCACAATGGCAGCTCCAGTCCCAGCTTGCCAGAGGTGAAAGCTGGAGCTGCCCAGTCCCGTGTGAGCGCTGCTGCATGAGCTGCCACGCCCTGCCAGCTCCCACGGCCCCCTGACACCTGATGACAGAGTGAGCCATGGGCAGCGTCCGAGTCAATCGGTGAGTAACCCTCCTCTCAAGACCTACTGCTGCCCTGGGTGAGCTGGTCCTCTTCATCTGGCCCCTCAGACCCTACCTTCAGATTGCCTTTTGATATATTCTTCTCAAATTACCCATTGGGGCTTTCCTGTTACAAGGAATGACTCTTCTCTCTTTCTCCAAAGTAAAACATGCCATATGTAGGGGTAGTGCTTGGAGGAATACTATGCAGGAGAAGCAAAGCACCGCACGGTGCCGGAACAGAAATTCCAGATTCCAGCAGCACCACAGAAGCCAGTGTTCCCAGGAATCGCAACTCTGGCCATCAGTGCTCTCCTTGCCATGAGATGTGGAAAGAGGCCCATATTGGAGGATTCCAGCTGACATACCAACACTGTGGGGTGGAAGGGAGACACTCCCAGGGTCCTGTGAGTCTGCAGCTTGTCAGGCATGAGGGCAGAGCAATCTTCACGCTTCAGTACACTCTCTTGATTTCCTCAGTGATCAGCACATCTTCTGCCATCTTTAAGGAGTATCTGCAACTGTCACAGTGTCACATGAAGGGAAGAGTCTGAGCTGACTGCCAGGGAGGGGAGCCAGAGGGGCAAAGATCTCCCAGAAAGTGTGTGTGTAGCTTCTGCCAAGAAAACTGCCAGTGCTCTGGCTGTTGATTTCCAAATTACACCTTGGCTTTGGATAAGGGATGCTGGAAGCCACACGTGTTGCTGTGGCAACAGAATTGTCCTGAGTACAGGAAGTGTATAAACATTGCCACCACACACCATGAAATCAGCGAGCAAAGGAGAGGAGAAAATAGAAACTCCCAGCCTTGCATTATATGAGGGCCAAAATGTGGTCAAGCTGTGGGTGCTTGCTCTCAGGCTTCCTGACTGTCCCAGCTGCTGTCAGGTTTCAAAGCCTTGTATCCCTCCTCACCATAAAGGCTGGAAGGTACAACAGAGCTACTAACTGCTGCTGCTTTGCTGCCCTGTCAGGACTTTGCTAGATGCAACCTCCTGGCAGCAGCAGTCAGCAAACATTGCAGCTGATCTCCACCAGTTTGGTCAGGGTGGCACTGTGGTGCGATAATCACAGAAACGTGCTGCTGTGAAATCCTTCAGGAGGGTGGTCCTGTAGCTCTGTGAGCCACCCACACCTCCTGCCCTTGCCATCTCAGCAGTTGCTGTTGCCCTTCACATATTTCTGATGGAAGTGCTTGTTTCCTCCCTTCCCAGGTACAGCATCGTCTCAACCGAAGAGGATGGACACAAGGTCTCTGCACTGGGCAGCATGAACGGGCACAGCCGGAATGGGAAGGACCACGCTCCCCAGAGGAAGCACCGCAACCGTTTTGTGAAGAAGAACGGCCAGTGCAACGTTTACTTTGCCAACCTGAGCAACAAATCTCAGCGCTACATGGCCGACATCTTCACCACCTGCGTGGACACACGCTGGAGGTACATGCTGATGATCTTCTCTGCCGCCTTCCTGGTCTCCTGGCTCTTTTTTGGCTTCCTCTTCTGGTGCATAGCTTTCTTCCATGGTGACCTCAATGCACCGGCGGTGGCGGGTGGTCCCTCTCTCCTCAAGCCCTGCATCATGCACGTGAACAGTTTCCTGGGGGCTTTTCTTTTCTCAGTGGAGACGCAGACAACCATCGGGTATGGGTTCCGCTGCGTGACTGAGGAGTGCCCGCTGGCTATCATGGCAGTTGTGGTCCAGTCCATCGTGGGCTGCGTGATTGACTCCTTCATGATTGGCACTATCATGGCCAAGATGGCAAGGCCCAAGAAGCGGGCCCAGACCCTCCTCTTCAGCCATCATGCGGTCATCTCCGTGCGGGATGGGAAACTGTGTCTCATGTGGAGGGTGGGCAACCTGAGGAGGAGTCACATCGTGGAGGCCCACGTCCGAGCCCAGCTCATCAAGCCCTACATGACAGAGGAAGGGGAATACCTCCCCCTGGACCAGCGGGACCTAAATGTGGGCTACGATGTGGGTCTTGATCGTATATTTTTGGTCTCACCTATTATTATAGTTCACGAGATTGATGAGGAGAGCCCCCTCTATGGGATTGGCAAGGAAGAGCTGGAGACTGAGAATTTTGAGATTGTGGTTATTCTGGAGGGGATGGTGGAAGCCACAGCCATGACCACACAGGCACGAAGCTCTTACCTTGCTAGTGAAATCCTTTGGGGTCATCGTTTTGAACCAGTTGTGTTTGAGGAGAAGAACCACTACAAAGTGGATTATTCACGCTTTCACAAGACGTATGAGGTGGCGGGCACACCTTGCTGCTCAGCCCGGGAGCTGCAAGAAAGCAAGATGACCATCCTACCTTCTCCACCACCTCCCAGTGCCTTCTGCTATGAAAATGAGCTGGCACTTGTCAGTCAAGATGAAGATGAAGATGATGATGATGAAGTGGGTGTGGTGTTAGGGGGCAACACCAAAGAGGAGGGAGGTATCATCCAGATGATGGATTTTGGAAGCCACCTGGACCTGGAGCGGCTCCAGGCAACTCTGCCTCTAGATACAATCTCCTACCGCAGGGAGTCAGCCATCTAACTCCTCCAGCCTCCCCGTTCCACGCCCATTGCCCACAGCCTCCTCTGTTCCATACCCATACACTGGATAAATCCCTTCAGCACCAAACAATGCCTCCCATGATTGCACCTCAGCCCCCGAGTACACCAAGGCCTGGAGCTGTTCTGATATACCCCCTTTTTCATGAGCTCATGCTGCCTGGGAGAGGATTGAGGATGTGCTACTCTTCCTAGGTGTGCAGCTTGGGCTGGAACCCATTTCCTGCCCAGAGACATGAGAGCAGCAGGCCTGGTTTCTTGTCTCTGGAGAGGTGACAGGAGTCCCTGCCTTCAATGGACAGATTGGGACCCGCAGCAAGTGTTTCTGCTGCTGAGGCAACAGCAGACTTTCTGTCTCCTCTCACTATGGGTAGGTCCCATGGCTCTCATGGGTCATTGCTATTACTAGGAGAGGATCGATACCTAAGTACTGACCAGATGAGGATGGAAAGGAGAGTTTAGGCCTCCTGGAGGGAGTGGGGAAGGATCTCAGGCTAGGAGTTTACTTGCATGTTCGTTGCTTGTTGCATATGACTCTATATATAAAACAGAAGGAGAATTGGGATCCATATTCTTCCACTGCAAACACCAAGCTAGGAGACAAGGACACTCTACACAGGCTACTCTGCACTCTCCTTGGCTTTTGGTGTCTGTCACCTCCAGAAGCAGCTCAGCTCCATGGACTCACACCCAGTTGTCCCAGTCCTCTCGAAAAATGTGTCCTGCTCCTCTCCTGAGATACCTGGCAGAGGAGGCAGGGCCCTGTGCTTGCCACACTCAGACTGCTCCCCGGCACAGCACAGCCGGGATGACAGACAGGTGACCTGACTGGACAGCAGACCCTCCACTTGCTCCTTTTGCCTCCTCCATTCTTCTCCCTGCTGCCATCAGCTGTAAAACTGAATTTGTAACTATTTATTTTTAATAAAGTCTAATATCCCAAGGGGAGGTTTGGAAGCAAAGGACAGACCCCAAGGCTGCAGCCTGGTATAGAGACTGGTGAGGATTATTAGTGCTGGTGTTTGTTGTTTGCATGGAATTGGAGCCTGCAAGCTCCACCCTGAGGGCTCCCTGGTTCTGAGCCTCTCTTGTAAAGACCTGCAATAAGAGGCCACAGAATTTGCTCAGGGAGAAGGTCATACAAGTGTAGGTATGGAGGGAATAATTTGCATTAAAATTACCAATAGTATGGGTTAAACAATCCTGTTTGCTTTGGAGATAGTGAGAGTTTTGCCCAGGGAAGGGTTATAGATATACTTGGTAAAGAGGCAGAGATGTGCATGACATCGCTTTAGATGGAAGGCTCAAAACCTCATAAAAAAACCCAAAGCCTCTCTTTTTGCTAAAAGCAAGTGGAAAGAAAACCAAAGCTAGACCTGGAACATCAGTTTGCAGTCATTAAATGAAAGAGGTGAAAACTTGATGAGCACTTTCCTTCAGGAGCAGCAGAATCACCCCTTCAAAACTGCAAATGAAATGAGGATAGAAAGACAAACAGGGAGTTCAGGAAGCTGCTCTGGGCACCCAATAGCTGTGTTATGGTGGGGAATGGCTGAGGAAATTATGTCCCACCTAATCCCTGATCTATAAAGCAGAAAAAAAACATCTCAATATCAATTTGGAATCGGTTCAAGAAGCAAAAGGAAGTAAAGGGAAGAAGCAGAAGGCTAAGGAGGAAATAGCAGGACTGAGAGGAAGAAACAGACACAGCAGGCAGATGGTGGAGAAGGAAGGGAAAAACAAGAAGAGAAAGTGAGGTTATATGGGAGTGCATTTGAGWAAGAGCACAAATAACAAAACTTTTATAGACTCAGACATGGCCATTTCTTGGTTCTGTGGGAGAGCAGCTGTCCTGCCCAGTTTTGCTCCATTCACCGGAATAATTCCRTTCACCACCGCTCTCTGGGCCCAGCCATGCAGCCAGTTTTCCACCCATTGRACAGCGCACCCATTCAGTTTCTCCAGGCAGCCAGTTTCTATTGGGCAAATGCTTTGGGATACTGTGTCAAAGACTTTAGGGAAGTCCAGGTAGACGATATTCACAGCCTTTCTCTCATCCAGTAAGTGGCTCACTTTGTCATAGAAAGAGATCAGGTTGCTCAAGYAGGACCTGCCTTTCCCAAACCCATGCTGGCTGGGCCTGATTCCCAGTCTGTGCTGCATGTGCTATATGATGGCAAGATAAACTGCTCCAYGACATTTCCTGGCACCAAGGTCAGGCTGACAGGCCTGTATAGCCCCAGATCCTCCTTGCAGCCTTTTTGTAGAAGGGTGTCACACAGGCTAATCTCCAGTCACCTGGGACCTCCCTGGTCAGCCAGGACTGCTGATAAATGACAGAGTGTGGCTTGGCAAGCTCTTCTGCCAGATTTCTCAGTGCCCTTGGGTGGATCCCATCCAGCCCCACAGACWTGGGAGGGTCTAAGTGGTGTAGGAGGGTCACTGAGCATTCCCTCCTGGATTATAATGGCTTCACTGTGTTCCCTGTCCCTGTCTTCCAGCTCAGGGGATTGAGTACCCTGACGACAACTTGTCTCACTATTAAAGACTGAGGCAAAGAAGGCATTAAGTACCTCAGCCTCTACCTCGCTCCTGTGGTGATCCTCGGCTCCAGAGCCCATCTGCCAGAGCAGTTTTCCTCAGAGCCTTCACTGAAATGGTGGATATACTGGATTTTGAGTGACCGCCATCCAGTTCTGCTGGTGCTGAGGAAGAGCTGCCTCTCCTCAGAGCTCCAATGCACCCCACCTGGGTACTGGGGGGCCTTTCTCAGCACTAAATTTGAGGGTTTGCTGGTTTAGGAAATGAAGTCACTCCCTCCTTTCATTGCTTATTTTCCCCTGAGGTAGTAAACAGAGGCTGGTATTGACCTGGCTTTTAATACAGCTTTCAGAGTCGTGTGCCTGCCACTGGCCATGGAAACAAACTAATGGAGCGAGAGAGAAGGACTTTGCGTGTGAGGACACGGGCATTCAGGACACAGGCTGGGGTGGTGGCCTCCAGAAGAGGGGGAACCCTCATGCCTGGGCACCCCTGTCACTGATGTRCAGCATCCTTTGGAGGCAGGTGGCAGTGCTTGGTGGCAGTGAAGTGCTCACAGCTCTTGGGAGGCTCGTCACCAAGGAGCAAGTGTGCAGAGGTGCCAGGCAAGGATAGTGCACCAGGGCCATGGGCATGCACAGCTGGAGTGGCTGGGGCAACARACAGGCCAGCACTGCCACTTCTCACTTCATCTGGAAAGATGGGACAAGATTGCAATAAATCTAAGGGAACAATCATTCAGCCATACTGGTTCCAGCCCCRTCTGTGTGTCTGAACTTTCTGGACGTTTTCATGTCATGTGTGGCATCACAGTGGAGAAAACAGTGAGGCATTGAAGAATACTCAGCTAAACCCCTGCTGTTTATAATAAAATTGCAAGAAAGATTCAATGCTGTCAGATCATTAGAGAGGGGAGAGAGAAAGGGGTTGAGGGGAGGGCGCAGAGGGAAGGAGAGAAACAGACAGTGTAGGAAAACAGAGGTGATGGGTAAGTTCCTGCCTGTCAAACACTCCTCATGAAGCTGTGCTGCTCCTGCCACACACAGCCCCTCCAATGACATGGTGCAGCCACTCCAGAGGCTGTTCCTGCACGTTGCACACGTGCCCACAGGCTTTGCTGGCACATAGCAGCAGGACATGCTTCTGCACAGGTGCTTCTTTACCTGCACATTGGAATCCCAGAGCACTCAAGCTCAAGTACACACTGCATTGTGCCTACATGTGTATGCCACACGTGGGGGGATAATCCATCCTACACCACAACTTCATCCCATAAATACCCCATGACATTCACAAAAATGCCACACAGCCACAGCATCTACCTCAATAAATGCCTCTCTGGCCCTATACTGGGGATTTCTTTATGCAGCCAGTGAAAAGCTACTGGGAGAATCCATCTTGGAAAACTGTTTGCTATAGAGAAGGCCTGACATTTTTAAGGATTCTGCAAATCAGCTGTCCAGGCCATTCATAACTGCAAACACAACAGGTATTTTACCTTTTGCACATGCTGTGTGGAGGATCAGGTAGAYGATACCTCCTTGCCTTGTGCCCTCCAGAGAAGACACTTTAATGCGTGAGAGAGCATGATGTCCCTGAGGTCCTTCCCTCCTCCAGGATCTGATGGAGGGACTGCTTCCTTAAGACCTACCTCTAATCCTGAGGGGCTGGCAGCTTGCTTTTCAAGAGGAAGACACTACTTCTTTGTTTGTTTGACCACAATCTGTATTTCTTTCCTGTCTTACTTCTGAACATCTTACTTGGCTCATTATCAAAAGCCATTCAAATACCAGAAAGACAATGGGGAGAGGAAGGACTTTTTCCCCATGAATGAAATCCAGGCACTGGTTCAGATCCTCTACCCCATGACAACCAACCACTCTGTTGTCACTCTTGCCAGCTCTCAAATGAATGTTGTTGTTGTGATATGACACTTGAGAATGAACTTGTTTCATGTTTTATTTTTGGTGACACTTTTGGACAACCCTTTTGAAAAGAAATCATCCTTGGCACCTTTCAACTTGCACAAAACTTGCTCAGCAAAACATTTGGATACACACTGCAACTAAAAATATTTTTAAGAAACACAACACAATAATCTCAGTTGGGGAGAAAATGGATTTGGATTTCCATGATTAGGAAGTGGTGCTGAAAATGTCTGTGCTTCTGAACAAACATGTTAGGTTTCAAATAGCTTGGTTTTGTCCAGGTTTTGCCCAGGAGCAGATATGACACATGGCACTGCCCCAGCAGCTGTGAGCACACCCTTGACCTCTGCAAGAATGTCTCTTCTGTTTTCTTTGAGCTTTAGCAGCTTTTCTTTGCCTTTGCAGGAGGGTCTGAGGTCTCTCCCAGCTTTTGGACAGGTGATACGAAGTGGCTGCTGTTTTAAATGTCACTAAAGCCCCCCCCAAGAACAACAAAAACCAACCAACCAACCAACCAAAACAAAACAAAACACAAACAAACAAACAAACAAAAAAAACAACCCAGAAAAGAAGTCTTACCTTCCCAGGTCATTAAGGGCTTGCCCCCACGAGGTCAATGGGACTTTGGCATTGCCCGTGGTAAGAGCAGAGCTGGGCCCTAATGGAGCATCACCATTGGAAAACCCCTCAGACGCAGGCCCTGTGCTCAATCCGCAAAGCTGGGATGGGCTGTGGCTGCATGTGCAGGAGAGGGAGAGAAGGGAATGCAGCCYGCTGGGATGCTGAAACCGCGGGGTGGTATAGGGCAGCTGGGGCGGCCTCGCTGGTACAGACAGAGGGGGACCGCAGCCGTATGGGAGGCAGGGGAGGCAGTCTCTGTACGCAGTTGACGGGGGATGTCACACCAGCAGGAGCTGAGATGGCAGCCAGTTGTCGGAAGGGCTGCACAGCCTTCTCCTCCCGCCATGGTCAGCCCGTCCTGCCATTCCCAGCCGCGGTGTGCTCCCGCCGGCAGGACGCAGCGCAGCGGGGCTGAGCGGCTCGGCGAGACGGAAGAAGCCCGGCCATTGCCCGGCCTCAGAGCACCATCTAGAGATGAAAGCAAGGCTGGCATCCCCGCGGGGCCCGGCGTCACAGAATTATAGAACCTCTTAGGCTGGAAAAGACCTCTGAAGTCACTGAGTCCAGCCCTTAACCCAGCACTTCCACGTCCACTAGTAAACCATGTCCCTAAGCATCTACATACCTTTTAAACACTTTCTGGGGATGGCAATTCCTCCACTTCCCTGAAAAGCCTGTTCTAGTATTTGACAACACTCTTAGTAAAGAAAATTTTCTTAATATCTAAACTAAACCTTCCCTGGTGCAACCTGAGGCCATTTTCTCTTGTCTTATTGCTTGTTACTTGGGGGAAAAGGCCATCCCCTTTTGCTACAACCTCCTTTTAGGTAGTTGTAGAGAGTGATAAGGTTGCCCCAGAGACTCTTTTTCTCCAGACTAAACAACCCTGACTCCCTCAGACACTCCTTGTGCTCATTCCCACAGGTCCCAGCATCCTTGCAGCTCCTAAGTCCCCAGGCTCACCCTGTGCTGCTTCTGGCCCAAGTGCTGGTAGGACACTGGAGCTGGGCTGGGACTGACGCTGGCTCTCCAGGCAGTGCTATGGGGCACAGCTTGGATTCGGGGGAGGAAATATTTGATCTGGTGTGGAAGTAGGCTCTGAGGGAACCAACACTGCAATAAAGGTCAGCTCTYCTGTGGCCAGGCCACAGCTTTCACAGAGCGCACAATAACTCTGAAAACAGTTCAGATATTTGCTACCACTTTTCTTCCTGGGGAGAAATCTACCAAGCCATCCCAGCTCTGGGAAATTAAGCAGAGATGATCTTTGTTCAGAGTCAGATCCTCCTGGTTGCCACCTTGCTGTCTGCTTGTCCTTCAGCTGTTTCTCAGCTCTGCCTGGTTGTATGTGCTTACTGCACAAAATTTGCTCCCTTTTTTCCTTATTATTCAGTCCCTTGATGGGACATGTACAACCTATGGCTGTAACGTTGTGCTGCTGCCTCTCCCATGCCACAGGTGGGAGGCCAGCATGCTCCAGTGGTGGGAGAGGGGGAGTGAAACTGTGTGGAAGTGGCGTCCTTGTCAGCATGAGGGCTGCMAAGCAGAGGGCTTGATATGCCCTAAGAGCTCTTTAGGCAACAAACATTTTTGTATCCCCTTGGTGGGGATAATGACAGCCTGGCTTGCAAACTGCAAGAAGCTTCAGATCTTGGGCTTCTTCTAGTTCGCAGGGGAAACAACACCAGCAGTCAGTGGGCTGCCAGTTAATGCCTATCTTTGACCATGTCCCCTCCAGAAGGGAGGACTTAGTGTGGGCAGTGCCTCTGCTTTCTGGGCAGCCTGGGCATGAGGACCCCAAGCAACTCATCCAAGTTAGGTCAGCCCGGAAAGAGGTAAAACGGAGCAATATGATTCCACAGCCCTGATGCCTGTGAAGAAATTCAGGATGGACACAAACACTGTCCTGAAATAGTCTGTGTGACACAAGATATTTGAGCTTTAAAAGTTTTTTTTTTATTATTTTTGCCTCTGAAATTAGTAGGATTATTTTGGTGCTGGCCCCAGATTTGAAATAGCAAGTCTTGAAACCTGGGGTCTGGCAATATTTGGACCCCTGGCTGTAGTGCATTGATAGAGTTCTTTGAATGCTCCGGCAGTACAGTCACAGAAAGAGTCAGCTGAGGGCCTGTAGAGAACAAAGCCTTGTTACAGAAGCTGTACAATCRAGAAAATAAGGAGCTTGAAATTGCTCCTGACAGGTGATTAGATGCTGACCCAGCAACAGCCTCTGTGTGTCTACTAGGGGCCTGGCACAGGCCTGTGCACCACTACTGKGGTATTGAACAGAGGAGGACGAGCTGATGCAGGAACTCCAGAGAAGACTTTGAAGGTATTTATAACATGACCTGCAGTCTCCACATGCTTCTCTCAAGGATAAGAAAATGAATCCATAGGAGAGTGGGTGCAAGGCACATGACAGGCAATGCAGACCCATAGCAGGACACTTGGTACCACACAGAAGGATTTGATTAGACATAAGCAGAGTGGAGCCATCATTTAGCTCCAGGCTGCTGGGTTACACCATGTGCCTTTTGTTTTCCAGGATACAGTGTTGTGCTCACTAGCAATGAGGCTGCCTTGAATAGAGAAACTGATGTGACCCTTCCACTGTTGCGCAAGGCGATGAAAACCAGCTCTGGAGCAGAAAGCTGCAGGCATAGGGTGACTGGCTGCAGCCAGGGTGGCAGGATTAAATAACAGGGTGCCCCAAAGCGTCCAAGGAGTCAGCAGTGCTCAAGCCAGTGGGTGCTGATGGGACAGAGCAGTCTGAGGTCACTGGAGGAGGCAAGTCAGGGTGAGAGCAGTATTTGGCAGTGGCTGCTTCAGAGGAGRTACAAGGTGTGTTGGTAGAGATGTACTGGCCAGGTGAACTTGCCTGTTCCCTGCTGCTCTGTTTGAGACAACTCTCCTGCAGTGGTCAGACAGTCTCATGAGCTCAAAATGCATTGCCAACTGTTGAAATGCAAGAGCCATCTGTGAAAAGCATGGGATTTTCTGAGTCCTTRTAATTATTTGATGATTTGTCCCATGGAGAAGCCTCCAGTGCCCTCATGTCTTCCATGGTTCCATTTTGCTTGTTGCTGCAGTCACAAGGGAAAGAATAGCTTATGTTCTCAGAGAGAAAGCAAGCAAAGGGGGACAGAAGCAGCTGAAAGCCAGGCAAAGTGACTTTCCCAAGAACATAAAGCAGTCAGTGGCAAAAGGACAAATTTAACTTTCCACTGTGCGTTTAACCTGTCACCTCCCTGTGCAGCTAAAGAAGGACACTGCAAGTGATAAATGAATCAGGAGCAGTTCCCAGACGATATCTTTTGCCTATCCTGTGTCCACAGYCACAGCAAAGCTGCTGCTGGGATGTTGCACTACCCTAGATACACACGCAACACCCATCACCTTTGTAGCACTGACTACAATTCCAAGCGGTGGTTCTGACAGACCAGGAGCTGTGCATATTCCTAACTCAGACACCCCTGGCCTCTAGAGACATCCAGAATTGAGAGCCGTCGGTCCTCAGAGCTTCTTAAAAAATAGCCTACATGGGACCTTACAGATACAAAACATCATCTTCAATAAGTGAATAGGAGGCCATGGGAGGCCCAGATGAGCAAATCTTGCAATCCCTGGTAAGCAATAGCATGACTTGAGGCAGAAACAAAGATTCACAACCTCAGTCCTCATAGGGAGTGAGTCCCAGCTGCCTCTCACCCTTTGCTGTGTGGGATGGGTAGTGAGATGGCCTTTTGTTAATCGGTGCCCCGTGCCTAGTGTTCAGCTGGCGAGGACAGACTGTCCCTTCCAGAGAAACCCCTTGCATAAGAATTAAAGAGGAGACAGGCTGAGATACTGAACTAATCCAGGGCATGTTGGGAAGACGCATTTGAAGCCATTCTCCCTGCCCTCCTGCCTTCCAGTGCATTGTTTATCTCTTCCGTCCCTCCCACAGCTGTATGTGAATTATTCTGACTGGGCCAGCTGCTTTCATAACCGCCTGCATTCTGTCCCGGCCCCTCACCCCCTGGGAGATGCTCATACATGGGAGGCTTTTTAACTACGGCCAGTTTGTGCTGCTGTGAACAACGAGCCCACACAGGCATTGCTCCCCACTGCCTGCAGTGCCTGCTGCACGTGCTGCACATACATTTTACTGCTACGGCCACATGTTCGCTCCCCTGGCACACACATGCACACTTCCGCTGCACACKGAAACCATAAGCTCCTTGCCAGTTCCCTTTGCACCTGTGATGCTCATCGAGCTCCCCAGAGTGCACAAAACTGGCACAGTTGTCACAGGAGTTGGGGGCTACTGCTCCCCTGCCATGCCGTGCTCTTCACCCATCACCCATTGTATCTGTGGGATACTTTGTCTCCCTTGAGCCGCACCCTTCACACAGGATTCAGGTGTGCAAGCTCACACTTGCCTTGGGCACACGTGTGTAGCACATATGCACCTGGCACTCTCCAAACACACGCTACACACAAATGGGGCCTTGGGCATGATAGTATTGAAGGATAATTCAGTTTGAAAGAGACCCCAGGACAGCTCTCGTCTGGCTTCCTGCTCAAAGCAGGGTCAGCAAAGAGGTCAAATGAGGTTGCTTAGAGCTTTATTTGATCTTATAAACTACTAGGATGGAGACTATACAGCCTCTCTGGGCAACTTTTTCCCACACTTGACTGCCTTTGAGGACAGAAAGATCTTTGTATTCAAGTTGGACCTCTCTTCTTTCAACTTATGTTTGTTGTCTCTCATCCTCCCACCAAGCACCACTGTGAAGAGCTCTGTATTTTACCAAGGCTCACAGGTCCTTTCCCACACAGCTGTTCTGCATCTATCAGGTCCCCAGCCCAAATCGTTGCCAGAGCCTCTTTCTTGCCAGGTTCAAGGCTGTGTATTTGCCCTTGCTGAACTCCCAGGGCTCCTTCAGGCCCATCCCTCCAGCCTGCTTACATTGGTTTGATAGCAGCCCTCCCCTCAGGCGTGTCGACTTGGTTCCCCTCCGACAAAGTGTTACCCAAAAGCTTGGTGGACGTGCACCCATCACCTTCTCCAGCTGATCAATAATCATGTTAAAGAGGAAAGGTCCCACGATAACCCCACAAGGCATCCCACTTGGTAGAGTACAGCCTGCTAGAAATTAACTACTCCCTGTGCCTGACCAGCCAAGWATTCTTTTTGTCCATCTATTAAGACAACACCACCTTTAGCTGGATATCAGAATATTGGGAGACAGTGTTGAGAGCCTGGCTGAATTGGAGAGAAATTATTTCCACCACTCTCCCCTCACCCATAAATCCAGTCCTTTTATGAAAGAAGGTGATTGGGTTGTTCAGGCATGATTTACGCTTGGTAAATTCATGCTGACAGCTGCGAGTCACCTTCTGCTCCTTCATGTGCTCAGAAATATGTTCCAAGAGGACTCATTCCAGGGCCCAGATGAATCTGACCAACCTACAGTTCCTAGGATCAATATTTCTGCCTTTCTTTAAGAATGGGGAACCTTATCCTATCCATACTTCTGTACCCAGCCTCTCCTCCTCYCTAACACAGGACACCTCATAGCTGCATTGCCTCCTACATGACTAGTTTGATACTTCACTTGGCCTGACCTGCAAATCTCCCTAAAAGAATGAATGTAGCTTCTCAGTTCTCCACTGCTTTTTCTCAAAAAAAAAAAAAAAAAACCAAAAAAAAAACCCAACCCAAAAAAACACCACCACCAAAAAAAAAAAAAACCAAGGGTTGGTGTATTTTAAACAGAGATGCGCTCCTTTAAAGTGAGGAGGAATCCACAAAACTTGGCAAGGTAGGTGTGGTGCCTCCCCTGTGACCCCTCATCTTGCCCAGACTGCTGGGCCAGGTTCTTCCACCACCCCGCAGACACTCAGGTRCCTTGGTGCTCAGGGAGCACTAAACGTGCAGGAGAGCAGGATGAGGTTACACATCTTCAGGTAAGATCCTGCTGATTCAGCCCTGAGTCCAGCTCCTCCCAAGGAACCTTGGCCCTGTCTTGTGGTTCTCTGATACATCTGCCCTGGCCTGACACAGCTCTAACAGTGCACCTAAATATTCCTGTTTGTTTGGTTTTTTTCCCCATTAGATACACCTTTTGTTTGTTTTTTTTTGGGGGGTTTTTTTTTTTTTTTTTTTTTTTTTTTTTTTTTTTTTTTTTTTTTTCACCAGGGCAAGCCATCAGGGATATAATAAAAGGGCCAGTTGTAAACTGGCAGAGGCTGGGAATAACATGAGGATAAAAAAGGCAAGGCATCTATGAAAAAAGCAATAAATGCTGTTAATTACAGATGTGTCCTGGAACAGCTCCTATTATTAAGGTTGCCAGCACTTCCCCTTTCAAGACCCTGTTTCCACTTGCTTATAACTTTGTCAAAGTTTCACCACTGAAGCAGAAATTTTCTATAGAAAATGATTGTCTCAGATGGAATTGGCCACATTTATTTAGTTATTTTTGAAAATGTGGACCCACCACTAGTTTTCCTGGGTGMGAGGGTATGTATACATGGCCGAGGGGACAAAAGCTCCTGAACTTAGGGCTTTCAAGCAAAGGCTTGCTGACCTTGGGCAGGACATCAATTTTTGTTTCATGGAAGCTGTGTTTCACCAGCTTCATGAAATACTTCTACTCTTTCCCTCTAGCATGGACAAATTACATGGTTTTGTTAAACGTGGAAAGAAGATTTGTCACAGCTTCGTAGCTACAAACTTGTCAACCTCTGCTAACCTGCCCAACCCTTTTGGTTTCTGAGGGTGGCATGACAGCATATGGGCTTCCCCAGGGTGGAGCACTGAAAGAGGAAACTGGGAGGGCTCTCCCTTCCAGAGCTGCAACCTGCTGTTATATGTCATGCACAGTTTGAATCTCTCAATGCTTTCCTCTGCCCTGTGCTCCTGGTCACCTGTCTTTTGCCTCCTGGGAAGTCTGGTGGAGAAAAGTCCATGATTTGAATATAGAAGAGATGAAACTCCAGGGAGAGAACCAAAAATTTGGGGAAGAGCAAATGAGACTGAGAGGCAGACAAGACCACGAGCTGCAGGGAAATTCTGAGTGTGTTTGGGAAAGGGGTTATTGCCTGACAGCTGCTATAGTGACTGAGGACGGCTGAGCAGGAAGACTGGAAGCAGAAAGCAGGGCTGGCTGGGGCAGTGATATGTGGAATGGGAAGAGCAGAGGAGTGATGATTGTCAGTAGCATGGGGAGAAGGGATGGGAGAAACTCAGCCCATCTGCCTGGGTAGCRGGACTTTCTAGTTACAGGTGATTGCAGGGAGCTTCCATCATCCATCCAACTGCAAAAGAAGGATTGCACTGGTGATAGGGAGCAGTTTGTGTGGAGTTGGACTGCATGTGGTGGGAAGGCTGGGGCTGACTGGCCAAGGACATGCAGCTCAGCCAGCCTGGTACTGTCTGGGCAGGATACTGGGCCTGGAAATACAGGGGGAATGGAAACCGAGAAGGGCAGGTGAGGTGGAACTGGAAGGGGGCAGTGGCCAAGCCCAGATCCCAGGGCTTCCTGACAAGAAGAGAAACCAAACGTGGGAAAGCATGGAGGGGACAAGGGGACAGGAGAGGACATCTGTATCTGCTTGTGTTTCTGGGACTGGAGGTTTCTCCAGTATCTGAACAAGAGCCTTCTCCCAGGTCTTCCTCCCTACTCTTACTGCTCCTGTGTTGTTACCCAAATGCCATCCAACAGCACATGTCACCTCTTGCTAGTCCTTCTCTGTGCTGAGGACAACAGGCAATTGCTTCTCACTGTTATATCAGAATGCACATTTCTCATCACTGAGAAATGTCAGCACCAAGGCTGGCTGTACAACTGCCCTTCAATGTCCCCATGCATATGAATTAGGGTTGAGTCTTTAATTATGTGGCCACAGATTTATTTTCCACAGGACACCTTTAGCACACAGGTTAGATGGAACTCTGGATGAGTCTCGGTTAGGTCACGAAGAAGGCTCTTTGCAGGGCCTCAGCATAATCTCCTCTTTTTGTTCTTGTGTTGTTTTGTTTTGGGTTTTTTTTYCCCCCCAAAAGCGTGAAGAGAAAGGAGTGACTCATTGCTGAGGCAGTTGTGTGCTGGCCTGGATCATTGCCCCTGTGGATTTCCTACCTGATGCTGAGCGAGTCACTCACAGCAATCTTTTCAGAGGTAGCTATTAGCTATGTTTTATTTATTTTGGCRTTTTGCTTTGTTTTAAGCCTTGTGCTATCCTGAGATCCTGATGTCTCATTTGTAGGAGAATTTATTGCTCCCTACTGCATGGGAAGGGAGACTTACACTTGACTAGAAAATGCTTTAAACTGCAGAGCACTCTGGCAAAGCGCTCAGATCAGCATCCCCACCTTGCAGGCTGCATTTGACTTTCCCTCYAGGAGTGCTGGATTTTCTCTAAAATCCCGCTGTCTTGCTCAGTGTGAGTATTGAAAAGGCAAATCTATTATTTGGGAAGTATTGAGAAACTAGAGTGTGTGTTGTGTAAAAGAGACCTCATGAACATCTATCATTGTTTTTGGCATGGGGGCTRCATGTTCTGAATGAGCTGTGAGTCAATGCTTTGAAGAACTCTGTCAGCCCTGTTGGATGTGTCAAGCCACAGGTACCTTCCTGCTCTTGAATTGCAGGTGGCAATGTGTTTGTTCTCACTTCTCATGTTTTCTTGCTTTCACTGGCCTTGGAGAAGTAGAACTTCAGCACAGTGTCAGAGTTTAGTCTTTCCCTGCTCACTCACACTTTTCTAGCACACGCGRGTGTCTCTGTGGCGAAGTGACCTTGGTCTTCAAAGCAGTATGTCCTTTTCCAGAAAGTGGGTGAAATGGGATTCTGCTCTTTGTTGATCAGGCAGAGTTGCCAAATGTGAGCTGGCAGTTTTCTAAGGTCTCCTAGGTCACTGAAGCTCAGCTTTCCCATGAGTTTTACTAGGTGCTATGAATATCATATACTGTAACTCTGAAAGGCCACCCAGCCGTGACACTGTGAATAAAAAGCACAACTCTAGCCCTTCTTTGTCTTTTCTACCCCAGGAATGACATGATGGGCAGTGGAGAGACTGACTGACTGCTCAGTGAGGGATAGTCCCCTTGGATACTGGGGAACGCTGGCCTACAAGATTAATCTCAAGACATGTTGCCATGGGTTCCCTCTGCAGCGCTGCAATGAGAGCTCTGGGGACAGCCCAAAGACCTTTTCATGTGAGTAGGATAGCGGTCAAATGTAGCCCATCTTCTGCTTGCCTGTCTTCAGCAGCAGCACTCCCTGTATCACCCAGGGGTGCTCTGACCATGTCTGAATCCCATGAAAGGTAGACATGAAGTGTCCCAATTGCAAGGGTCCCAGCTGCTGAGCTGAGGGGCTTAGACTCCCTTCTATGCTCTTACACCCGAAGATCCCTTCCAGGCAAACCAGGGAGATGGGATGAGGTGAGGCCTCCTGGGCCTCATTTGGGAATGTTGTTTTGAGTGTATGAGCTATGTCTCACTGCTGGGTCTGAGATGTTAGACAGYCTTCTGGGTGCTGTTGTCTGAACAGAGTCTTCGTGTACCTTGGGTGTTGTATTGTGGTGCCTCATACAGGCCTAAACCTGAAGGAGTGCTCATCTTTGGGGAGGTGCAGGGAGGAAAAAAAGGTGCTGCAGCTGTCTGCCAGTTTAATCACTGGAGAGGGATGGAGATGGCCCAGCAGGGCTTGTGAGGATGGATTCTGCTTGTCCCTCAAATTTATTCCCTCTCCAACCCAACCCCAGCCTCTGTATTTAGGATCCTGCTCCTTGTGTTATATATGACAACTTCCTTTTTTAGACACTGGGGCAGAAGTTACCTGTTGCACCATTGGAGCACGGACACCCCTGATGGAGACAGGATCCCCACCTTACCGGATGCTACATAAACAGCCAAAATCAGCAGCCCTTGGCCCAGGTTTTTTAATAAAAATTACCCCATAAGAAGAGGTATAACTAGRCAATGCTTGGAGAGAGGTGGGTATTAACAGATGTTGTGGGTTAAGGTTTCTCCTTTTGTTTCCTTTCTCGGGGATTTTTTCTTTCCCATTTTGTTGCTGGGATACACTGATTGTCAGG